TATAACACCAAACAAAAGGAGTGTGTGTGTGTGTGTGTGTGTGTGTGTGTGTGTGCGTGCGTGTGTGTGTGTTAGTCCAGCCTCGGGGAGAAAAGCATTATGTCATTATATATAATAATGTATAATAATATAATAATAACGACAAAAGAGAATTGCCACCAGAGCCTCTGTGAATGGGTTTCATTTCAACTCTGGAGCCGCTCTGGGACTCTGGGGGAAAGTTCTGCACTCTCTTAGCTCAGCTTCAGACTAAACCACACTGTGGTTGTCTTTGGCAAATTGGGGACAATGAGATGTACAGAGCTGGTATGCCTAAGGTAGACAGAGCTTTGTGGCTTGAAGTGCACACTATGTAAAGCCTAGGCAAAATTAAGAAAATTACAGTGTGGGTATGACTGTACAGGAGGGCATGACATCTTCGAAAGACTTGAAAGAGGAAAATGAACAACCATCTTGCCAAAACAAGCTATTTTAAGAACATGAAGCATAGTGGTATAGGGCATGTATGCCAGCACCTGTGAGGCCGAGGCAGGAAGATTTCTTGTTCAAGACCAGTCTGGGCGACATAGCAAGACCATGTCTCAAAACCAGCAAGAATAAAACCAAAGCATCAACAACACCAAAAAAGAACAAAAACTTTATTCTTCCAAATTCTCTGCTAGCTCCACCTCACACTCATATGTTTTAAAACTCCTGGAAACACGGGACGGGAACAGGACTGACGGACAGAAGACTAGGAACACACCGATCACACTGTGCGTATTTCAGTTAGCAATAGTGCTTCTGGTTCCTGAGTCGAAGGAATAGCCGCACATGCCACTGTTACCAGACGTGTGGACCCCGGCCCTGCGCTAATCACTGCTCCTCACACAGCCATTTAGTTCCAGAGCCAGCTGTCTGAAGAGGAGGCAGCGGTGTTCCTGAGAACAGAGCCTGGGGCTTCTGCAGAGAGCTCCGGAGCCAGGATCTTGTTTAATGCACTTATTTAGGGCAAAGAGCATTGCGTTTGCGACACTTCTGGCTTCCTTTACAGATGAGGCGCTGAGTCATGACTGGTAGTTATTCCTGTAATGAGCTTTCTAGATTTCCCAAGGCTCCTTTTATAGCTCAGATTTCCTTGATGAAGACGTGCGCACTCCGAGGAAGCTGGTCTATCGCAACGGGTAAGGAGACCCCGGCAGGGGCAGGTGGGGCTGCCGCAGAACGGAACCGTGAAACAGACCTGCCCTTCCTCTTCGCCCAGCACTGCTCACAAAATGGGAAGGTGGCCCAGCTCCTCCCCTGGGAAAGGCGTGTCCGGCTGCACCGTGGGGTCATTTGTCTTCCAAGCTGGCCCCATCAGTGGCTCTCTGAGTCCTAATTGGAACTCTCTGTCCCTGCTGCTGTGTGGCCAGGCCCCCATGACCTCAGTTAGGAAAGGCGTTCTTCCCTTCTCGGGCTGGCCAAGCAGGTTTGCTGCCAGCTCTCTGCAGGCACGGGCAGGGGCGAGGGCGCGAGCTGGAGCGAGGCCCCGTTGCCCACAACAGTCTCACTGGACATCAGAAGGTGTGGTCTGGACAAGAGCTTACAGTTCAGGGTCAAGGGACTGCTGAAGCTCTCGTTGTGAGTGACAAAGGACAAGAAATAAAATCTTTGATCTTGGAATGCAGCTTGCCTGGATGACCTTTGCAAATTCCTATTCAGAGGACACCACCCACTTCCAGGGCCCTACAAAATAAGGGCCATTGCAGAATCCCGTCTTGGGAAGGACGATATCACAGATTGCTCAGTGGTTGTCTCCTGACCTCACTACCTGCTGGTGGTGAGGCCTTGTGGACTCTCTGTGACTTTTCTGCATCTCAATTCAGTAGTTTTTAGATGGGGGTGAGGTATAGTGAGAGAAATAAGAAAAATACCTGTCCCGTGGTGAGCTCTCTGTGCAGCCACCGGGCTGGGGACACGGTTTGGTGGTAGAAGGCTTGTCTAACATGAGTGAGACCTTTGGCTTGACCTCCAGCACTGCCAACAACAGCTCCTAACACTCCTAGTAAGACACTGGGAAGGCTGCAAAATCTCAGGGAACAATGGCAGCCTGTCCCTTATAATCCAACAGAAGTCCCTGTCCCACCCCTGCCTAGACAAAGGCCTTGGCCCAGCAGGTATCTGTGGCCTCTGTCCTAGAATGACTGCCCATCCAAATTCAGCCGAGTTTCCCTGGCTTGGGCAGGAATGGGGAGAGAGAAGGCTGCCTAGGGTTTCGGGTACCACACAGACAGGCAGGATACTGGCAGCTTCCTATCCGGTCAGTGTTGCCATTCAGAACTACTTAGGAAAATCCTGAGAGAGGTCTCCAGTGAGTAAGTGGTCGATACCCAGGGGTCACGGAGGCTGCAGGAGGAAGTGCATTGGCTAGGGAGCCCCACCTACAGCCCTTGGCCAGAGGTTCAGAAATGCCACTCAGAAGATAAATGTTAGGGCTGGGGATGTAGCTCAGTTGGCCGAGTCCTTGCCTAGCATGCACGAAACCCTGGGTTTGATTCCCAGCACTGCACCACAAGAAGGACAAACACTCCAGGGGTAGAGGCAGGAGGATTAGTTCAAGAACTGTCTCAGAAAGGCACACACGCACACACGCACACACGCACACATTCAGTCAATGTTAAGAGAAGGGGGGAGCGCAAAGGAAGCTCAAGAGGGTGATACTGAGAACCTATAGCTCCGGTCGGGACTCCTAGACAGTGGTCAGCCTAGAACCTCAAGCAGAGTTCCCGGCTCCCAGCTCCTTCCCATGCCCTGAATCAGAGCTACGCGGGGAGTTAGTTAGAAGCTCCCCAGCTTCTGCTCTAGGTGGCAAAGTCCAGGCTCCTCTGAGTTCCAGTCCCCACCCTGACCCCAGGGCCGTACATTTATGCACCTGGGAAAAAAGCCACATCAGGACTGTCTGACTCACGTTACCGTAACAGGATGCATTTTGTGGGACTCTGGATGAGGGGAAAGCAGGTGGGGACCAGTCTCTGAATGTTTCCTGTCTCATGATGGCTATCAGTGTCCATGTGTGTGTGCCACACAGGACAAACTGAAGAAGGAGGTGTGGCCTCACAGCCTGGATGCTCAGGAAGGGTCCTGCGTGCCCTCCTGCCCACAGCCTGGCTCAGAGGAGGGCCACGCTGCCTCAGTCAAGGAGGCTCCACCCAAACAGGAATATGCTTGGCACACTGACACATGTGAGCCAGGAGTTTGCTACGGGTCTGCTTCTAGCATGTCTTGTCTACCCAGAACCAGGAAACGATCCTTCCAGGTCCCTCAAATCCACTCAGCTGGCATCTTCTGGGGCCTTGAAACCCCTAGACAAACGTGACATTTGGGTGACATGAGAGGCGAGGGCTAGGGACAGTGGTGTATGTGTGTGTGTGTGTGTGTGTGTGTGTGTGTGTGTTTTCTAGTGTGCCAGGCAGGAGTCAACCACTGCATGCCCAAGGGTGGATAAACAGAGAGGGGTTGATAAAGGCGGGGCCAGGGTGTGGCAGAGGCTAACGCAGAACTCCAGACTCGTGGCAGACTACTGTAGCTTCCAACACCTGGAGACCTGAAACCAGTGACAGCAAAAGGTCCCTGAGAACTGTGCATTGCCCTTGGTGACCTACAACTGCCCTTGGAAACCCCTACCGCCGTTGGGGAACTAAACCCTGGCCTCATCCTCCTCCACCTCCCCCACAGAAGGTAGCCCAATAGGACTCCTTCGGCTGCCCTCACAGGGAACAAAAGTCTCAGCTAGCTTGTGTTTAAGTGGTTTTGTCTTTGCAGTTTAAAGACAACTCTAAAAATAATTGCATCTGAATGTTCTGAGAGCCAAAAATGATCATTCCCAAGCACTCCACTTCTCGCTGACTCTGCCCACCCCTGTAATTTGGTGTCTGGGTGGCTGTCCCCAGGCACATGCTCTCCTACCCTGATGTCACCCAAAAACCCGCACCCAGCCAAACCCTCTGTGCAGGAAAGCCCCTGGAGTGGGCTCAGCGTGCGGCCTCTGAATCACGCATTCCACCTGTGCAGCTCAGAACTCCGTCAGTAGCCCTTCTTTGGGCCTCTTTGTAGAAAGAAATCCACTGAAGGAAAGCATCCGCGTTTACAAACTGCTTAAAGGTGAGGACATACTTCTCATTCCAAGTATAAAATGGGAAAAGGGAGTTTTGCTTTTACGAAACCAAATGCACCACTCACAACTGAACCCACCAAAAAAAAAGTGCAGTTTGCTTTGTAAGCAAGACCAAGGAAACCAGGCTGAGGCTAGCCCACATCCAGAGCAGAGCTTTAAGGACTGGCCTCTTCCTGCCCAAGAGGAGTTAATACATCTAAAAAAAAATACATTTAGTTACTATAGTGGCTCACACCTGTAATCCCAGCGCTGGCTGCTGAGGCAAGAGGATTGCTGCAAGTTCAAGGCCAGCCTGGGCTACACAGTGAGCAGAAGCCAGCCTGGGCTACAGTGGGAGACCCTGTCTCAAAAACAAACAACAGCAACAGAGCAAAAGATCAAAATTATTGGCTACTTCCTAGTCTTATGATCTTAGACAGGTTATTTAATCCTCTGTGCCTCTGCGTGTGTAAGGCAGGAGTGATATGCTGTTGTTTGCTTGTTTGTTTTAGAGTTTTGCTAGGATTAAGCAAACCCATCACTAGAAAGCACTCATGCCATGTGTAGTCCTCCCCCCAAAAACTCATGTGTAAGTGTCACCTTATTTTCAAGTGAGGCCGGAGAGGGAGGGACACTTTCCCCGAGGAAACTGTAGTGTTGGAGACTAAGATTGTGACCCCTTCCTCCATGCCCAGGGCCAGCCAGCTGTCGGGCAAGCACAAGCAGAGCCCGATTTCCTGATCTTTGTTCCCAGATGTCCCCAGCACTCTCTAAGTCCCGCCTCCTTCCTCCAAGTACCAGGCACCGGACTGGTCTGCGGGCACGTGGTGAGGGAAAGTGGCCCTGGGGTGAATCCAGCTGACCATAACTCTCCCAGGCTCCCAGCTCCTTCCCAGACATTCCCATTTCTATGCTTGGGGCTCGGTGGCAGAGCGTTTGCTTAGCATTCCCAAGGTCCCCCGTTTGAGCCCCAGGACTGGGTGTCAGGGAGATCACACAATCACAAGCTACAAGCCCTTCCTAGATAGTCCTCACTACACTGTGATCCAGTTCGTACTCTCCAGTGTTCAACGGAGAGGAATGGACTTTTGGAAGCTCCTAAGCCAATTGGAACCTGGTCCGGCCTGAGATACCAGACCTGCCAGGGAGCAAGGTCGGTTCTGATGAATCTGAATCGCTGAGCACAGGGGGCCGAGGGCAGACAGCTTTTCCCAGTTGGGTTCTGGTTCTAGGGGGGAAAAAAACTGGATCCCACTCCCATCAGTAAGATTAGACGGTCTCCTGGAAGAGGTGCGCCCCCTACAGGGCTCACAGGGAGGAGGGGAAGGTGGCTTGCGTTGGGAAAGCAAAGCCATCAGCAGGGCAGTTGAGGACCCTCTGACGGGGAGATAAAAATAGAAAAAAAAAAAGCCAGTTGTCTATAATCTCTGCTCTTGGGAGGTAGTGGAAGGAGGGCCAGAACCTAAAGACATTTTCAGCTATTTAGACAGTCTGAGCCTGGTTTGAGGCTATGTGAGGCTCTGTCTCAAAAGGAAAAGAGAAGAAATAGCCCACTCCAGCTGCAGAATGCCTGTGTGAAAAGCCACTCCACAAGGAGGAAGCACAACCGTGTCAAGGACCTAGCCCTGGCCTGGGCCACAGTAGACATGCAACAACGCTTGCCAAAATGCAAAATGCTGCTCTCCTTCCGCACTGCGGAGGGGAGCTGGAAAGAAGTCTCTCTTGGTGGTCAGTCTCGGTGGTCAGTCCGTGATGGTCAGTCTTTGGAGTGTGGTGTTGCAAGTTGATTTTGGAGATAACCACAGCGAAGCCCCACCTCCCCTTCTAGCCACATATTTGCATGGAGGACTGGGAGATGGATATGGGGGAGGAAAGGGGAAAACTCTTCACGTTGAGCCTGGGGGTACATGCCAAACTGGAGTTTGCCCAGAGCAAGCTGAGAACGAGGACCATGGAACCAGGACCTTTGTCCATACCTATTCTTATTTAATCTCACCACCAACTTGGTCAGCGTCTTATTTTTATATGCGGGGTAGGGGTTGAGATTAAACGGGGGGCCTGTGCGTGCTGAGCTAGGGTTTTATAACCAAGGTGCATCTCGGTTTCCCAACTTTGTGAGGTATGTCTTTAAGACTGATGAGGAAAGTGAGCCATGTAGTATTTGCTTTATTTTTACTGTTGCTGTGTAGAGACCGTTTATTGCTTTGTTGTCCAAAACGGTCCCAAATCCCTAGTTCAAAGCAAACCTCATGCCTTAGTCTTCCAAGCACTTACGACTATAGGTGTGCACCCTTGAGCCCAGCGGGAGTTCATTTGATTGCCCAGAATCACACAGCTCCCTAATCAGTATAAGATTTCTCCCCACTGAGGATTGTTCAATGAGTGTCTGCAATTTGTGTGTGTCTTCTGGGTGAACGGATGCCGACGGCCTGGGGGCTATGGCTCAAGGAATTGCGTGGGTCAAAGTTTTCTTGGTGAATAAGCAGGGCCAGGACCCGTCACAAATGGGTCAAGGTATAGTCACTGGGTTCTCATTCACAAAGTTAGTGGGGGTCCCAAGCCTGGGATTCCAGAGTGGGCGGCTTTGCTTTCGGCCTTCCCAGTTGACAGACCTGGAAAATTCCCTGCCTCTGCCATGCGCCACACAGCTCTGTGTAATTTCCTTTGTGGGTCAGGCCTCCTCAGAGGACTATGAGGAGGCCATGACTCAAGCCTTGGCCTGACATCGACAAGCCACCAGTTGCCTGGCTTCCAGCTGGCTCAGAGGATGCGGGGCAGGAGTGGCTGCCCACTGACTCTTCCCACTTCTGCTCCACTTTCAGATATGGATAGACGTTCACTCTGGATCGCTCTGGATCAATCTGGATCAATCTGGATCACTCTGGATCTGAAGCTTCTCAGGTTCTGGAGTGTGACCTTAGCCCGTGTCCAACAAGACAGTCCAGGTCCTCTCTAGGGTCCAGCGTCAAGTTCCTTCATCAAGCTGTTGGAGCTGGTCCTAATGTCTCCATTCCCAAGTAAGAACACTCTCCACTTTCCTGCCCATCCAAAAAGACCCACAGAGCAGCTTGCTGGTGCTTTGATTTTTTATTTCTTTACTTTATTTTATTTTGGTTTTCTGAGACAAAGTTTCTCTATATAATAGTCCTGGCTGTCCTGGAATTGGCTCTGTAGACCAAGCTGGCCTCAAACTCCCAGAGATGGAGATCCACCTGCCCCTGCCTCTTGAATGCTGGTTTTAAAGGCGTGTGCCACCACCACCCGGCTTGCTGCTGCTTTTAAAGAGGCTTTGCTTAGGTGGAACCGTACACCCTCCAGTGCTCACCTGGAGCTTACTCCAGAGAACCTGCCCAACACAGAGAGGCCCTACAACTCGGCAGCTAACTGCCACCTTCAGAAACAAATGAGAACCAGTGGCTCCCTGATTCTGAATTGACACTGCTCACTCAAGAGTCCCTCAGCGTGGGGAGGCACAGGCCGGGAGCCAGTCATACTTCTGGGCAATTTGAAGTCATGTGCTGTGTGTCACCGAGGTCGTGACTCAGCCCAGGCTCTTTCATAAAGGGTGAAACTGCTGGGCAGGCACTTTTTAAGGGAGGCGGGTGCTTCCCGACGGCAAGTGCAGCGGGGTTCCGTAGCCCCCACCCCAAGGAGTTTCATAACGGGTTTGATGACGGAATGAACAACAGAGAAAATGAAGTGAGACTGGTTTAGACCACCAGAGCTGACACCGCTCCAGGCAGGAGAGCTGCGGTTCTGGTGTGGCTGCTGGGAGAGACCTGGCTCCCCAGAGTGGGTAAAGAGAGCTATGTGTCTCAGGGGTGTGGGTCTGTCTGCCTCCTTCCAAGAGGGAGGAACTATTCCTGTAGCTCTTTTCCGGAATAACAAATAGCTGGTGTCGGCTGAGGCCCTGGAAAGAGTTATTAGTATTATTGAGCTCAAAAAAAAAAAAAAAATGATGACAGCAAATATCCAGGTGAAGCCAGCATGACCAGGCAGGATGAAGGAGCAGCCACGCATGGACCTCGGTCAAGCTGTGCCCGGTCAGGCTGTCCGCGGTCAAGCTGTGGCGCTCAAAGAGTGGGTGGAGGCCACTGCAGGCTTCGGCTGCAGCACCTCCTCCTTCTTCCTTCCTTGGGTGCTCTGTTGGGCGGGGCACTATGGCTGGAGTACCTGCCTGCCGCCCACAGGTAGCCCCTACCGCAGCGAGCAGGAGCAAGCCCCTCGGGCTCCGGTTGGCGTCGTACTTTTGTATTTTCCCTTTTCTTTCTCATCTTAGAAAGTCACATTTCATAACGGTCAGCCTGGCGGGTGGGAACCGGAACCAGAGAGGCTGTGGTACCTGGTAGACTCCCAGGGGAGCAGATGGCTTGGCAGCTAGGACTGGGTGAAGAACGGTCCCTTGGCCTACCCACTTGGCAGACAGACCACCTCTCCAGGGTCTACCTGGGAGATACCAGAAGAGGGTGGATACCAAGGGTTGGGTCTCTAAGGGACACGGATGATAAAGACCTGAGCAGATTAATCAGGCTGGTTACATGAATGGCCAGCACCACAGCTGAGCAGATCAAGCTCAAAACGCAAGTGTGCTGTCTTCCCAGGACAGGTGGTCCCTGCCGCCCCAGCGGGATGACTTCTCCCTGGTGGCGCCTCCCACAGCTGAGCGTTCATACCATAACCAATAAAAGCTCTTTAGGCAAAACAGCCTTTAGAGGCTGCTGTCTCTAAAAGGAAATCGGCACTCCATTTTCCCACAAGAAATTCAAAGAATGGTGATTACTCAGAACTCCCTCTGCACATTCTTGTGAACATTTGAGAAATTCCCAATGCCTCCCATTGTCATCAGTCCGGGAAGCCAGGCGTGCACGGTCTCATAGACCGTAGCAACTGAGCTCATAGCAACCGCACAAACCATTGTGGACTGTGTATGCGCAAGCGCGCGCACGTGAGCCAGTGCGGGAGCATGGGTATGTGTTTGCACATGTGTGGGTGTGTTACTTCGTTTGATAAGGAAAGGAAATGCAAATAAAGAAGTGATGACTTCTGGTAAGTTTGGGCCTGGAAACTGACTGTCCCTTTCCTCTCGGAGCCTTCCTCTTGAAGCTTTCTTCCACCGAAGCCGTTTTTCAGGACATTCGGAGACACGAAGCCACTTAGGTAATTAATTCTGTGAGACCTCCTACTTTGGGTATCAAATTAACTTCATGCTCGGAGACTCTTGAATGATGAAGTGCCTTTTGGCCACTGGCCTAGTTCCAGCGCAAAGTGAAACTACTGTCATGAAAAAGACCCAGCGAGTCTTGGCAGAAACTGAGAACACCGCCAACTAAGGATAAAGGGCCCATTAAGCCCGCCCCTAGGGCTCCCTGGAGACAGACAGCTCACCTTGGTTTCCTCCAGACCAAGGAGGACGTGTCTGTGAGAGGCTAAAGAATGTTGCAGGTAGACTGTTTCAATTCCTAACGAATCCAAAAATAAAATAGGGAGGGTGGAGGGAAGAAGGAAGCACAGTTAGAAAAGGGAGGGACACAGACCCGGCGCTGCTCCGTATCGGGGATGCTCCGTATCTGGGATGCTCCATGTAGCTGGACCAGCTGGGTGTCCAATCTCAGTACTCAATAATGCTAAGAGCTGCAAGTTCATAGGCCGGGCTGCACTGTGAATTTCCAGGAGGTCTGAACTGGACACAGTGAGACCAGCTCGAAAAATCAAAACACAAAACAGCAACAACAAAAACCTGGTGGCCACTGCTTAGATTGCTATCTCTCTCCCCCTCCCTCCCTAGGGCCTGCTGCTAGGCAACTGCTCCACCTCTGAGCTACATCCCAGCCTACTACTGGAACTATGAGAGGTCTGAAACAAAACAGGCTCTAATATACGCTCAATTTCAAGACTTAGTACGAACAAAACAAGGAGTGTAGCTACTTGAGATCTTTTCTCGAAGATAAAACAAAATAAAAAGCAAAAGCCAGAATGTAAAAATTAGTGAAAATAATTTTTATCAATTATATGATTAAAAGTACATTTTGAAGTTTTTATTCAATAAGGTTAATTTTCCCTATTTTTGTTGTAAAAGTTTATTTTTTATTTGTGTGTGAATATATGTGTGTGTGCAGGCACGCATGTGTGTACATGTGCATGTGTGTACATGTGCTCACATATGCCGGTGCAAGCACAGAAGCCAAAAGAGGTCCTGTACCTTCTCCCCTTTGTTGTATGCTTATTCCATTGAGTTACGGTCCCTCTCTGAAGCTGGAGCGTGGCTAGGCTGGAAGCCAGCAAGCCCAAGGGGTCTTCCCGTCCCCACCCCTCTGGAGAGGGAGTGACAGGCACACGCGTGCCAACTGTACATGACTGTACAGCAAGCGCTCTTAATCCCTGAGCCGTCCATCTCTCCAGCCCTCCTACCTAATTCTTAATTGTTTATTTTATTCTAGTCGCTCAGGTTTTTGAGACAAGGTCTCCTGTAGTTCTGGCTGTCCTTAAACTTATCATATCAATATGTAGCCAAGGCTGGCCTTGAACTCCTGGTCCCCCCAACCTCCACTCCCTGAGTGCGAGGGTTACAAGGGTGTGCCATCATGCTGGGTTTATTTTATTTACCTGTTTCTTAAATGTGGCTACTAAAGCATTTACAACTCCTCCTGCCGCCTGCCTTGTCTTTCCAGAACAGCACTTCCCCCATCTGTTGCTTCCTGGAGGCTGGTACAGCCGAGGTCCCAGCTCTTTCTACTTCCAACCGAATGGCAGACATCTTTGGCTTCTCTCCCTTACGTAGGACTGAGAGTAAACTGTCACAAGGACAAGGCCTTGGCTCTTAGCTTCTCCAGAATATCTTCACATTTCACTGATAAAGTTTTAAGGCAAGAAGCTTCTTTTTTCTTTTTCTTCTCTCTTTCCTTCCTTTCTCTCCTTCTTTTATGAGGCAGGGTCTCACTATGTAGTTCAAAGTCAGCCTCCTGCATCAGCTTCTTCACTGAAGGGTTACAGGTGTGCACCACCACGTCTTCTGAGGCCAGACGATCCCAAGTTCACGATCTACTTTTGGCAGCCAAGCAAGATTGAGAACAACCTGGAGCAACAGGAAAGATCTTGTCTCAAAACAAAATAATCGAGAGAGGAGATGTAGCTGGGAGCCCTTGCCTAACATGCTCGACGCCCTGGATTCATCCATCAGCCGGTGAAAATAAACCCCTACACTTCAGGTGAAGGTGTAGAGGGGCCCTGTGCTGCTGGAAATGGCTGTAGGCAGCTATATGATAGCAGCAGACGGTTTAAGGGGATGTGTGAGTCATGAGAACGCCTTGATTAGGCCTCAGTGGAGGCTGAGGCCAGCACAGTTGAAATCCGAGTTCACTGTCTTTTTATTTGCTTTTAAGTGGGGCCACTGAATATCCTAGCAACATGAACAGAGCATTTCTCCCAATAACACGCATTTGAGCACCCCCTGAAAGCTGGGGTTCGCTGGGTAAGGAACCATTTCACTCCCATGGGATCCTGACTGGGTGTGTGACACTTCCACATAGCTGGCACTGTAGGACACCGCAAACTCGCTTCCTGGTTTTCCTCCAGAAGCTTCCTTGCTCCTAGGCACGCTGCTTCTCTTCCCTTTTGTCCTTTCCTTTCTCATTCTCTTTTAAATTTTACTTTATTCTTTTGTGCATGCAGGTGTTACGGCTGCATGGGTGTTTGTGCACCATGCATGTGTCTGGTACTGGACGAAGCCAGAGGAGGGCGTTGGATCCCCTGGAAGTGGAGTTACAGTGGCTGTGAGCTGCCATGTGGGTACTGACAATTGAACTCAGGTCCTCTGGAAGAGCTGCCGATGCTCCTAACCCCTGGGCCATCTCTCCAGCCCCTTTCTCATTTCTCTGTCTCTACCTCTCTTCCTTCCTTCCTTCATTCTCTCTCTCTCTCTCTCTCTCTCTCTCTCTCTCTCTCTCCTTCTCCTCCTCCTCCTTTTGTGCTGACCATCGAACTCAGTGTTTGGGCATGCTAAGCCAGCACTCCACTTTTTAATAACTGAATCGCATTTTA